TAAAAAGTGCCTCTCTCAGTCTCTCTGTGCCATGGGTACCCCGAATTTCCTGATATCCGCACCAGTTTCCCTCTCTATTTGTTCGGCTTTGTTAGTTTATGCTTCCTTTTCTCTGGAAATGCAGCCTTCTAAGTGGAGTTGCTCTAGCCCTGCATTCCAAGGTCTGCAGGGAGCAGAGGCACTCGCTGGCATGGGCGCAGTAGCGATAGCGGGAGCCACATGCAGGCAGGCAAAAGCTCAAAATGCCTGTAATTCCTCAGCAATTTGATCTTTTAAAAAAACGAGCTCAGAATGTTGAAATATAAGATCTTATATTTGTTCAAAAGCTGTCTGTCTGCTAGACAGAGGTTTATTATGTGCAATTCCGCCCCTTTTCCCTGAGACTGCCCTACCTGAGCTGCCTGGTCGGGGAAGCGCCGGAAGTCCTCTTCATTTAATTTCTTAACTGATGCTTCCATGAATGTTGATGATTCATCTGAGCAAAATGAAGTCATTGACAACTTCAGTCTTGTCTCCATTTATCTTGATGTTACTTACTGGTCCAGTGGTGAGGATTTTTGTTTTCTTTACATTGATATGCAACCCATACTGAAGGCTGTAGACTCAGTTTAGGATGCTAAAGACGAAGGCTTTCTCTCTTTGTTGTCTTGGGTGAGAGATCCTTTTCTTCTTTTAGCATCTGTAGGTCTAGCATTCATTGGATCTTGGCATCAGTCTTCCTCTGGATCTAAGAGTTCCACAGTGCAGCTGTCCCAGGTCTAAAGGATACATTCCAACCGTGGTACTTCTTTCTTGATCGTAATGTTGTTGCTACTAAGTGCTGTGGTGTCGGTTCCAACTCAGAGCGACCCCATATAGGGTTTTTGAGTAATGGGTGGTGGGTTAGAACCACCAGCTTTTTGGTTAGCAGTCCAGTTCTTACCCTATAGCGCCACACCAGATATTAGGTCCGTTGTAAGATGAAGGATATTGTAGGCCACGCCCCTGAGGAAATTTCCTTTCAATTGATTAACTGCTCATAGGCGAGCTCTTCACGGAGTCTGATGACATTATATTAGATCTCGTCACAGGGGATTACTGCATTTTAATGGCTAACCCACTGAGAATCCTGGTCGTGCCAAGTTGACATAAAATGTCACCACCATACCTCCAGAACAGCATTTTCCTCTGTTGAACCACACAGATGAGGTGCTGAGTGGTGGGAAGTGGAACCCGAACTGTTGTCTCGGGGTCCAAATCAGGGAGCATACACTGAGCCAGTGATCACCTTTCAGTTTAAAATAATAACAATAATGTATTAAATAGTATCTTAAATCCCTGGTGGCATAAAAGGTTAAGTACTTGACTACTAGTATTTTGCCCCTATCCAGAGATTCCTAAAAAGACAAACTTGGAGATCTCCTTTCAAAAAGTTCACCCCTTGAAAGTCCTGTGGAACAGCTCTTCGCTGTACACATGGGTTCACCATTAGTCAGCAATAGCAAATAACTTCTGAGCATGCCTATTTGCATTTCTCTGTATTTATTAAAATTAATTTACCATATTAATATGCCATTTTGATGATAACTTTTTTTTTTGTTTTTCTTCTCTTTTTGGTCTGACTCTAGCTTTGCTTTTAAAAGAAAAATTTAAGCCTCTAGTAGTATTTGCCAAAGTCCCATTAAAAACTCTTGATGCTTTTTTATTCATCCTTTGGGGAGGTACATTACCTAAGCTGAAATATTAAAAATTAATGTGATAAATTTTATTTAACCTATGTCCCAAATTTTTTGGATCAGCATACCCCTCCCTACCTCTTCTCCCCATTAACACAATGTCTGTTTGGACCCCAAGGTTCTGTGGGGGCACAATGTAGCAAACTTTAAACTTACTGCAACCTTTGGAAAGCCTAGTTGTTGGCAAGTTGCAGTCAGCTTGATAGAAGAAGCTTTTGTGAGAGCATTTTTCATCGGATGAGACTTAGACTTCTAGCTACCTATGTCAGACTTCCTCTGGAATCATCTGACTTGCACTTGTATTTCCACTGGGGGTTCTAACTGCATGGTTGGCAGTTAGAACCCACAAGTCTGTTTTGTATGAGAAAGATAAGGCTGTTACATCTCAGACACCTGGTAGAGGCTTGGCTATGAATTGGAATTGACTTGATTGCAGGGGTCTTTCCTTCCTTCCTTCCCTTCCTTCCCAACTTCCTAACTTCCTAACAACTTCCTTCCTAACTTTCTTCCTTTTAAGGGGACCCCTTTGTTTCAGGGTCTATGAGCCTTTATTTAAGGAACACTGGTGGCACTGTAAGTTAGGCGTTGAACTGCTATCTGCAAATTCGGCCATTTAAACCCACCAGCTGCTCTGTGGGAGAAAGGTGAGGTTTTCTGCTCCCATAAAGATTTCACAGTCTCTGAAACCCTGTTTAGGGTTACTATGAGTTACAGTCATTTTTTTGTTTTTGTTTTTGATGAGCCTTTATTTAAGGAGCCATGATAACTGAAAGAAAGGTCTGTGGTTCGAACACACCAAGTCTCTGTTGTTGTTGTTATGTGCCGTGGAGTCGGTTCCGACTCATAGCGACCCTGTACAGGCTGCAAATCTTTATGGGAGCAGAAAGCCTCATCTTTCTCCTGCAGAACAGCTGGTAGTTTCGAACTGCTAACTCTGAGGTTAGCAGCCCAATTCATAACCACTACACTACCAGAGCTCTGACGCTATAAAAATCTGCTTCTATAAAGATTTATAGCCTTGGAAACTATATAAGACAGTTCTGCTCTGTCATATTGAAAGGGTCACTATGAATCAGCATTTGACTTGGCAGCAATGAGTTTGGTTTGGTTAAAGCCTTTATTTCTTCATTTATAAAATGAAAATAATGTAACCTTATAAGAGGGATTCTGAGAACTACATAAACTATCCTGTAATCAGAGAGCAGAAATACATATTTCATAGGTACGTGGAAAACATTAAGGAACCTTGGCAGCACTGTGGGTTTAGTGTTGGACTACTAGCTGAAAGATTGGCACTTCAAACCCACCAGCCATTCCTCAATAGAAATATGAGGCAATCTGCTCCTGCAAAGATTTAGGACCTCAGAAACCCTGCATAGGGTTGCTGTGAGTTGGAATTGACTCAGTGACAGTGGTTCATCCAATTCTTAATCATGACCCTGAGGGGAGAGAAAATGAGACAGCAAAGATATTAGGGACTTTATGAAAACATTGTTTCCATCTTTCCTATTAGCTTGTTTTCTGGTGTCTAGTATCTGAGTCTCACAGCATCAGAGGATACCAGGTATCTCTGTTTTATTAGATTTTTGGGGATTATATTCTTATATTTGTAATAACTTTGGGTGCTTTGTAGCTTTTTATGGTTTGCATCTGTCACAGTTTTGTTTGTTTAATAAGGCTGAGCCTGTATCAAAACATAACTTAAAAACATATTCATATACATAAAATATTTGAAGGAGCGATGTCAAGCTATTTCATCATACTTTGTTTTTCTGTTTAATTGTTTTTTGTGTGTATTTAAAAATGATTGAAATTCAAAAGAGTGTTTAGTTTCAGAGTGTGCTGGGGAAGGTAGAATCCCCACTGAATGATTTTCATCTTGCCTAGATGGGTCTGGTGAAAGGAGTTGGGTATAAGATTCTTATGATTCATTGTGAGTAATTGTTATCATGACTAATTGTGACTGTCACAACTGTAAAGCCTAAAGTTTTGTAACAAAACTGGAGGAGTAGTTATCTTCCATTCCAGGAACAGAAGACCCTAGGACCATCAAGGGATAAGAGCATGAGCGGAATGCGGGATCCTATCCAGAGAAGCAGCGACACCAGAGATGGAGGCAGAGATGAGGGCATGGAGGGAGAGTGAGAGCAGCTGAGAACTGTAGACTCATGGAAAGAGAAAGGCTGTGTGCTGGTGGGCAGGAGGCAGGCTTACAGAATGTGCCCTTTGGTTGTTTAATTTATTATATATACCTGAGTATTTTTGTGTACATCCAAAATAAATAAATAAACAAACAAATAAATAAATAAATAAATAAATAAAACAGAGGGAATAGAAGCAAATACTGTTTAATGATGACACACGGAGGAGATTGTAATCATTGCAATGAAATGATGAGTGTAAAACCAATGTTCTCCAATGTAAACTATAACTCAATTCACAATGAAAAAAAAAAAAAAAAAGTTACCATTTTCAGCTATTCATCTGTGGGAATCAGATTCCCTCAGTATTACACAAAGCAAAGATGTTAAAATAGATCGGATTTTAGACTTGTATGACTTCAGTTTACACGCCGAACTCCCCATTGTAAATTGCAGGTCTCAAAGATTCTGTTATTCTACGGATTGATTTCTTATAAGTAAAAATTATTAATTAAAGCTTATTAAGAATAAAAAAAAAAAAAGATTGAAATCACACTTTGCCAGGAGGTGGGAGGAGAAATAAACTTATGCAAATTTTTATACTCCCTTTTATTATTGTGGCCCTCATTGGAACTATTCATTCTCATATAGAACAAACTATTAGAGAGCATCTCAAAAAGAACATCTAACACTGATGCCTTAGGTGCTTAGTCTGATTTGGATTCTTCTCCAGTGATTACTAATTTATGATTCTTTTTAACACATCCTAAAAAATTTTATGTAACACATGCATTTGAATTTCTTATAGTAATGATTTTTTTCACATGTGTTTAAACTTCATAAAACCTTATGTGCAGTTAAGTGGAATTTTAGGGGACCAAGACATAAAGACTCACTTGGGTAATGATAATAGACAGTTGTGAAAATTCTGAACTATGAATATGCATGTTCGGTCATAACAAGAAAAGGCTTACATGTTTCTCATGTGTTGGATATTAAAACTATAATTCAATTTTAATATAATTTGCAAGCTGATGGCTATAGTAACTAAATACATAGAGATAGAGTTCTGTTTATGTTTCTTCTGCATATAAAAATAATTGTCTGGGAAGTGTCTTGTGACTGTCCAGTGTTCTTTCCTCAGATTCATACTGAGCGCTTACTGGCTAGTGAAGGCCAGCATGCGACCCAGTGGAAGGAGTTCATGAGAGAACAGCATGACAAGCGGGCCGAAGTGGATGAGGAGCACAGAAGAGCCATGGAGCGACTGAAAGGACAATATGCTGAGATGGAGAAGGACCTAGCGAGATTTTCTACCTTTTAAGAACTTGAACCTCAACAATAATAAACTAATGGGAAAACATTGACTACCCCAACCCCCAAATATTCCCACCAAACCATTTAGCCTCTGTGCAAGCATAGCAATATATTCAATGATTCTTGTATCAGAAGAAAGAAACAGCTGCAGGAATCCCAATTAATGTTTAATAAAAGAAGAGTGCTGTATCTTCTCAGTTTCAAGTGCCTACATGTGATTAGTTGAACAAGAGTAAGTGCAGGAAAGAATAAATTTATTCTTTGAAAGTCAGAATTGTTCTTCTCTTCCATTGATTAGGTCAAAGAATTAGAAGTGTAGACTTCTTAGACAGAAAAATAGTTTAACTGATTCTTACACAGGATTAATATTAGTTTATTATTGTGGCTTAAAAGCCAGATATAAATAATAGATGCCTGCCATTGCTTCACTCACAGGTTATAGAAAAAAATGTATAAAGTGTTATTCCATGAATAATGTAGACAAAAGCAACTGACATTGGAACAGAGAGCATATTTAAGGGCAAAACTTTGTCTCAACTATGACAAAATGGCATGTTGATGTTTGAACTGCAATGTTGGAAAATGTCGCAAATTGTGCGTAAAAGCATAATGCCACTGGTCTCATTGAATGACAAGAAGACACATTTGCTAAATTTTTGTGACCTTCCAGCACCTCATATAGCCACCTTTCAAATATACTTAGAAGGAAAAGCCTACCAGAAACGTATTTTGACTTTTAGCCTTACCAAGCACCGTAACATTGCCCAGAATATTTACCTCATTTTTGTGTCTGTTTGTGTGTAAACATTAAAAGTTAAATGTCTATGTTTCACCTGTTTAATGAGTAATCAACACAATCTGCCCAGGGTCCCTCTGGAACCATATAAAGATTTTGTCTCTGAATGAATCAGAAGTATTTGCTCACATGGCAAATGATCCATGTTAAATGTAAATCCTTTTTAGTGTTAATGTCTGTTCTCATAAGCAGGTGTATAATGGTGAAATGTGTCAGCTCTGTCATCACCAGAATCTAAAAAAAAAATCTACATTTAGCAATCTAATTGAAGAACTAAGTTAGGTTTAAACATTTTTTATTTGCCAAATATTTAATTTGTAAAATTAAATACAGTAACTTCAAGAGATTTATGGCAGATGAATTTCAGGTATGAATACATCTTTCAAATACACTTTATTGTTCTGCAGTTAGAGGCAAGAAAGAATGCACCCAACTTTCTTGTGTTACCTCAGTGTAGCAACTGCAGAAAATTGACAATGCTTGCTTGTGTGAATGTATGGCTGACTGTCAAAGCTTCATTCTTGGTTGCATGTTGAAAATGTGATTAAAGTTAATAGAGGAGATGAAATAAGTTTTTGAGATTTCTTTCAATAACACTGACCTTCTGCCAACTTTCTCTATCCGCTACTGTAGGTTTGACAGGTTCATCAATCATTCTCTGGTACCTGGACTTAGAAAGAGCACTTGCTGACACTGAGGCATGCTGGAATTTTCTTTCAGTGGGTGGGAAAAAAAAGAGAAGAAACTTCCAAAAATATCCCACACGTGAAAAGGGAGGGGAACCTTAGCTGAAAATTCCCTTTGTACCACGGGCAGTTTGGGGAATGCTATTAATTGCCAGTGCACTACTAAACACATGCAATGACCAAGAAATGAACACTATGGTTGAGTAGGAATATACTCTTAATTTGGGATTTACACAACTTGACCAGCAAAGATTTCTGATCGTTTTCATTCACTTCATACAAACAAATACCTTCTAAGTTGACATGCATTATTTAAGGGACTTCCTAAACCTAAACGAACTGGTGAATTTTTTGAGCTTTAGAGATTAAGATACTAAATTACTTCTTTGTAATATGATTAAATATTCAACATAGCTTCTAAAAGAGTCATTGAGTTTATCTCCCCTCCAACTCAACTCCCCCTTTTCCCATTTGATGAACAGTTTTATTTTTGTTTCCAAGTCACTTTTAGTGCATATTTTATTTATATATGTGGGGGGAAATTAGTTTAAAAAATAATGGAATTTTCCCATGAACTATTTTGAAGTCTCCTTATATAAAAATTGAATTTAGTAATTATATAACTTGTTACATTTCTGCTATTATTAAGCACAGATGTAATGTGGGTTCGATGTCACTCAAAGATTATTCAAATGAAATAATAAAATGTTTTATAATTTTAAACTTCTAGAGAAATGTTTTAATTGTTTTTCAGTTGTAAGCATTTTCTGTTTTTATTATGATTCCTGATGTATGTGGATTTTTCTTTTTTAATTTCTAAATGTGTAGATTTTAAATTTCTGTACATACTATTGGTTTCTGTTTTAATTGGATGTGGTCAAGGGAGTGAGGTTTCTATAAGACTGATATATTGAAATTTATTAAGATTTGTTTTTATTAGTGTAAGTCAAAAAATATTGCTACAAAAGCCTAGCAGCATTTATTAAATAAAAATTTAAAAAAATTTTCTTGTATATTTAAATGCTCAGTTTGTTGCTGATTTATTTTGATGAAACAAGCTTACAATTTTTTATTGTGAGTTCAAATTCCTCTGAACTTTATTTTTGGGAAATTTTTGTTTTAAAGTATGTTCACAGAGAAGACTGAGTTTTTAGAATTTAGCATAATTATCACCTTTCCTGAAATCCTACCATAGAGACTCTTTTATAAACTACCTATTGGGACTATAAATCTGTGTCTCTGGATTTAAAATACCAAATACTTAATGAAACACGAATTCAGGCAAAATATTTGTAAGCTTTCATTGGAGAAAACATTATCTAGTAGTTTGTCTTAGGCCTTCAGAAAGGTTTTATAACTATCGTACTAATAATTTCCACCAATAATAGACTATGACAATATTGTATTGATTATAAATGTAATCAATATTAATTTGTTATAATTGATATTATAAATATAATCAATAGAATGAATTGATCAACCATGAAATCAAGATGTATTGATAATCACTGGTGATTGGAATGCAAAGGTTGGAAACAAAAAGGAAGGATCAGTACTAGCAAAATATGGCCTTGGTGATAGAAATGATGCTGGAGATCACATGATAGAATTCTGCAAGACTAATGACTTACTCATTGCAAATATATATATATTTTTTAATTTAAGGTTTTTATTGTGGATTGAGTGAAAGTTTACAGGGCATATCATCAGTTTTACATTCAACAAATCATACACCTTGTTTCATTA